TTATAGTTCACGGTACTGCTCTCAAGTATTACCAGTTAGTATATACTCTAGTGATCCAGTTTACTAGTTATAGTTCACGGTACTGCTCTCAAGTATTACCAGTTAGTATATACTCTAGTGATCCAGTTTACTAGTTATAGTTCACGGTACTGCTCTCAAGTATTACCAGTTAGTATATACTCTAGTGATCCAGTTTACTAGATATAGTTCATAGAACCACTGCCAAGTGTTACCAGTTAGTATATACTATACTGATCCAGTTTACTAGTTATAGTTCACGGCACCACTGTCAAGTATTACCAGTTAGTATATCTGGTATAGTTGATCTGGTTGTATAACGACTCGTCTTTGTATGTTCACTATTACGTTGATCTGGTTGTAACACGACTTGTCTTTGTAAAGCAGTTTGATGACGAACTTTAGAATAACTTGGTCAACCACGAACAATGTAAGAAGGGGTTAATATTTGTCATAAGAAGTACTATGGATCTAAAGAGGATGTTCTAATAACAAAAATTATTCTTTTCGGGACTTCTATACTGTTTGTTTTAGAGCAAAGCCACATTGGGCTATCTGCTCTGTCCACCGCTGATAATTGACCCTCGGATTTTAGAATCGCAATTACGTAAACTTGCCGCTGACCTGCTGGGATAGAGCATCTGTGACAGTGAGGATTGCGACTGACTTATAGTTTAGGAGTCAAACTGCTAATCCAAACTACAGCAACCGTACATCTCCACCATAGCAACCGTATAGCATGAATATAGCAACTGTGCATATTAATTGTAGGATTTATAACAATCATAAATTGTAACTATAAAGGCTTAACTAATGTTAAACCTAAGACAAGTAAACTTACAGATTTCGGTGTCTGCGATTAGAATTCTTTTATATTATCCTCGAAATTCTTTATTTAAAGATGTACTGTGACAACAAAGGTACTAATTTGACCGGAAATGATCTGTGGGTTTCTGCTAGTACTTTGTTACAAAACATGTCTCATAATTGTCAAGAGTACTTTGTTACAAAACATGTCTCATATTTGTCGAGAAAACATACTTAATGTTTGTCAAGAAAGTAGAAAATGATAAGCATCATAAACGTTATTTTTATCAGAGGATATGTAGTTCTATGATTATAATCCAGGAAAGTAAAGTAGTTTGAAATGAATTACATTAGTATATATATATATATATATATATATTAAGAAGTGTCCAAAGATTTGTCTATTTACACTCAGTAATCATGTGGATTCATAGTTTACCTTATTTCTATAGAGTTAAGGATATGTTTTTGTACATTTGTGATCAATTTATTTACTTTGCTTTTTGTTATCGCCATCTATTGCCACTTCTGATTACTACCTCTTCATTTCATGGTGATATATTAATTCTTTTCAAAAGGCATACATAGGAATCTTGTATACTTTAAAAATGCTGATGTTAATATTGATTTGTTTGCTTCCTGATTTATAAAGATGTATACGTATATATAAAGTTCTGCTTATAACTTGTTGCTGTTTATATCTGGTTTCTATTATAGAACCGAAAAGAAAGATAATTAAATACATGTCACACTACATGACCATGATGTGAGTACAGCTTTATATTGTCAAAAATCTGTCTCTTAGATATAAAAGTATGTTAACAAACTGGAATATAGATGTTAGAATGTTACAGTATTCCCGAGGTGTCTGTGATATGCTTGTTTACCTCCTCCCCTTCCCCATTAATTACCTTGATTACTAGCTCTCTCTCTTATATAGGAAATACCTGTCTCTATCAGATTTAAATATTTTGTGCAGTATACATCAACTTTCGAGAGTTGGTGACCACACAGGAGAAACTATACTAACTTAAAATAGTAGCTGGACTTACCACACAGGAGAAACTATACTAATTTAAAAGAGTAGCTGGACTGACCACACAGAAGAAACTATACTAACTTAAAAGAGTAGCTGGACTGACCACACAGAAGAAACTGTACCAACCTACAAGAGTAGCTGGACTGACCACACAGGAGAAACTATACTAACTTAAAAGAGTAGCTGGACTGACCACACAGAAGAAACTGTACCAACCTACAAGAGTAGCTGGACTGACCACACAGAAGAAACTATACTAACTTAAAAGAGTAGCTGGACTGACCACACAGAAGAAACTGTACCAACCTACAAGAGTAGCTGGACTGACCACACAGAAGAAACTATACTAACTTAAAGAGTAGCTGGACTGACCACACAGGAGAAACTATACCAACCTACAAGAGTAGCTGGACTGACCACACAGAAGAAACTGTACCAACCTACAAGAGTAGCTGGACTGACCACACAGAAGAAACTGTACCAACCTACAAGAGTAGCTGGACTGACCACACAGGAGAAACTATACCAACCTACAAGAGTAGCTGGACTGACCACACAGGAGAAACTATACCAACGTATAAGAGTAGCTGGACTGACCACACAGGAGAAACTATACCAACGTATAAGAGTAGCTGGACTGACCACACAGGAGAAACTATACCAACCTACAAGGTTTGCTAGACAGGTTAGGGTTAAACAGTCACATAAATGCATTTATATTCATCATACAAAGAAAATTTACATAAATGAGTTACAATAACTTTCTAAAAATTTTATTCTAGATTTTTCCAACAAATAACGGAATCAACTTTATATTTTAATATACATAACCTTCGAACAAGCAAGTTTTTAAAGGAAGTTCGAGTGGTGAATCATTTTCTAATTTAAATCATGGAAGGAAGATTAGATGTGGATCGGAGTAGTGGAAGATTGGATGTGGATAGGAAGTCTAATAGATCAGAGTAGTGTGCAGCCCCAGCAGCACTGCTGAGGGTAGTCTGGAAAGTAAACTTTGTTTTCGAATCCATAAACGTAAAAGGCAGTGAAAGAATCTTTCCACGTGCATTGTACCTCAGCAATTGGCACAATCCTCACACGATGGCGCTAAAAAATAAAAAAATCAGTAACTGGCACAATCGTCACAAAAAAGAGAGACCAAATGCATGTTTTAAATTTTTTTACTAAAACTGGAAAGAAATTATAACACATTAACTATGATTCTTTGTACATTATCCTTGAAAGTTTCTACTTCCATAATCTACTTAAACTCAACATACTTGACACGGTACCTTGTTTTACAAGAAACTCGTTTGTTTAGTTTATTTCAACTGCTTGACACGGTACCTTGTATTACAAGAAACTCAATAAACTAAACAAACTCAACTTGCTTGACATGATACCTTGTTTTACAAGAAACTCAATAAACTAAACAAACTCAACTTGCTTGACATGATACCTTGTTTTACAAGAAACTCAATAAACTATACAAACTCAACATACTTGACACGGTACCTTGTTTTACAAGAAACTCAATAAACTAAACAAACTCAACTTGCTTGACATGATACCTTGTTTTACAAGAAACTCAATAAACTATACAAACTCAACTTACTTGACATGATACCTTGTTTTACAAGAAACTCAATAAACTAAACAAACTCAACTTGCTTGACATGATACCTTGTTTGACCTTACCTGTTGTATAGTTTTCTCCACGTGAAAGTGTAAATATGTTTCACACATCTCACCTGTTGTATAGTTTTCTTCATGTGAAAGTGTAAATATGTTTCACACATCTCACCTGTTGTATACTTCTCTACATGTGAAAGTGTAAATATGTTTCACACATCTCACCTGTTGTATACTTCTCTACATGTGAAAGTGTAAATATGTTTCACACGTCTCACCTGTTGTATGGTTTTCTCCATGTGAAAGTGTAAATGTATTTCACACATCTCACATGTTGTATAGTTTTCTCCATGTGAAAGTGTAAATATGTTTCATATGTCTCACCTGTTGTATGGTTTTCTCCATGGGAAATGCCGAAGCGTGAAAGTTGACGAGCCTTGAAGATGCTTCATTTATCGCTCGGTCTGGAAAATGTGTGATTGGCCACACCTTTAAAAATATACAAACAGAAACTGTAGAACCAACACACCACAAGGCAGCTCTATGTAAATAACACATTAAGGTGCATGTTCATCAAAATTACACCACTTAACTTATGATGACTCTGTGTAAATAACACATTAAGCTTTGCTCTTGTCAAAATTACAATAAACACACTATAAGACAGTCCCTGTAGGTAACACATTAAGTTGTATTCTTGTCAAAATTACAAAAAACACACCATAAGACAGTCCTGTGTAGGTAACACATTAAGTTGTATTCTTGTCAAAATTACAATAAACAAACCATAAGGCAGTCCTGTGTAGGTAACACATTAAGTTGTATTCTTGTCAAAATTACAATAAACCCACCATAAGACAGTCCTGTGTAGGTAACACATTAAGTTGTATTCTTGTCAAAATTACAATAAACAAACCATAAGACAGTCCTGTGTAGGTAACACATTACGTTATATTCTTGTCAAAATTACAATAAACCCACCATAAGACAGTCCTGTGTAGGTAATAAATTAAGTTGTATTCTTGTCAAAATTACAATAAACCCACCATAAGACAGTTCTGTGTAAATAACACATTAAGTTGTATGCTCGTCAAGTACTTCAGTGTTTCTGATTGAACAAAACTTGCAGTTAGCTATAAACTGATGACTTAATTACTTCAATCAGTCTTTAATCAGCATTTATAATTGTTTGTTTCTTAATGAAGTCACTCATTATCTCTTCACTTGATCATTGTTATGCTCCCTCTTTGATTCAGTGTTTTATAAATTGACTTTTTTCTCTGGATTAATTATACTCTCTTTAATTTATTGTTTTCTAGTTTGACCTTTTTCTGGATTAATTATATTCTGTTTAATTTATTGTTCCTAGTTTGACCTTTTTCCTGAATTAATTATACTCTCTTTAATTTATTGTTTTCTAGTTTGACCTTTTTTCTGGATTAATTATATTCTGTTTAATTTATTGTGTTCTAGTTTGACCTTTTCTCTGAATTGATTATACTCTGTTTAATTTATGGTTTTCTAGTTTGACCTTTGTCCTGAATTAATTATACTCTCTTTAATTTACTGTTTTCTAGTTTGACCTTTTCTCTGAATTAATTATACTCTGTTTAATTTATTGTTTTTCTAGTTTGACCTTTTCCCTGAATTAATTATAATCTCCTTAATTTATGGTTTTCTAGTTTGACCTTTGTCCTGAATTAATTATACTCTCCTTTAATTTACTGTTTTCTAGTTTGACCTTTTCTCTGAATTAATTATACTCTGTTTAATTTATTGTTTCTAGTTTGATCTTTTCTCTGAATTAACTATACTCTCTTTAATTTATTGTTTTCTAGTTTGACCTTTTCTCTGAATTAATTATACTCTGTTTAACTTATTGTTTTCTAGTTTGATCTTTTCTCTGAATTAATTATACTCTGTTTAATTTATTGTTTTCTAGTTTGATCTCTTCTCTGAATTAATTATACTCTCTTTAATTTATGGTTTTTCTAGTCTGACCTTTTTCTCTGAATTAACTATACTCTCTTTAATCTATTGTTTTCTAGTTTAACTTTTTCTCTGAATTGATTATGTTTTTTTCAGATTGACCTTATCATATTGTAATAAATTAATATCAATTAAAGTAATGATAATTGTGTATCAATGATTGTTTAAAAATAATAGAGTAACAATGAATGTTTAATGATGATAGTGTAATGTTGACAGAGTACTAATGATTGTGTAATGATGACTAAGTATTAATGATTGTGTAATGATGACTGTTTAATGATGGCAGAGTACTAATGATTGTGTAATGATGATAGAGTACTAATGATAGTGTAATGATGATTGTGTGTAATAATGACAGAGTATTAATGATTGTGTAATGATGATAGTGTAGTAATGATTGTGTAGTGATGATAGTGTAATGATGATAGTGTAGTAATGATTGTGTAGTGATGATAGTGTAATGATGATAGTGTAGTGATGATAGTGTAGTGATGATAGTGTAGTGATGATAGTGTAGTGATGATTGTGTAATGACGACAGAGTACTAATGATAGTGTAGTGATGATAGTGTAGTAATGATTGTGTAATGACGACAGAGTACTAATGATTGTGTAATGATGATAGAGTACTAATGATAGTGTAATGATGATTGTGTAATAATGACAGAGTATTAATGATAGTGTAGTGATGATAGTGTAGTGATGATTGTGTAATGACGACAGAGTACTAATGATAGTGTAGTGATGATAGTGTAGTAATGATTGTGTAATGACGACAGAGTACTAATGATAGTGTAGTGATGATAGTGTAGTGATGATAGTGTAGTGATGATTGTGTAGTAATGATTGTGTAGTAATGATTGTGTAGTGATGATTGTGTAGTAATGATTGTGTAGTGATGATAGTGTAGTGATGATAGTGTAGTGATGATAGTGTAGTAATGATTGTGTAGTGATGATTGTGTAGTGATGATTGTGTAGTGATGATTGTGTAGTGATGATAGTGTAGTAATGATACAGTGTTTGTGAAAATAGAAAAATGTAACTTAATGAAATGAAATAAATTACTGACTTCTGTACTTAACGGTCAAACCACTTTTCAGAATACACAGTTTTTCTTTAGCTGCCGAGTAACTGTGTGTTTAAGTTTAGTTTTCTAACTGATGTAGTAGCAGCTCTTTAAATTAAGGTAAATATATAAATATTATATTGAGTTTTTAAAGTACTATATTACCCGAGACTGTAGTTCTTCAAAGGCCACGTGACCACTGACTTCACGAACGAGTTCTTTTGGTAGTTTGGTGACGTCAGAAATATGATCCTCAAGATGGTTAGTCCTCGATCAGAAAATTAAAAAAATTACAACTGCTGAGATATCTACTTTTGATACTAAAACTTTGATAATTTTGATAACAATGTATTAATAACCGTGAAGTATAAAGATGAAGTTAAATATAAAAAGCATGAAACTGTTTGTTTGATTTAGTGCAAAGCTACAAACTAGGTTATCTAAGCTTTGTTATTCACGGGGAATTGAACCAAGGAATTTAGCATTATAAGTCTCTAAATTAAAATATATTTCTGTCTCTCAGTATAAATAAATTCATCTTTAAAATAATGTTTTCTTTTGTTCATTTATCCCTTTGTATTACTCCATCATCATTACACAATAATCATTACACTATCATTATTGTTCTATCATCATAAAACAATAATCATTAGTACTCTATGATCATTACATTATCATCATTACACAATTGTTGTTACACTATTATCATTACACAATTTTTATTACACTATCAGCATTACACAGTTTAAAAAACTAAAATCATTAATCATTACACAGTCTAAGTAAACTCAATTACAGAAATATTAACTAAAATCATTTAATCATTACACAGTCTAAGTAAACTCAATTACAGAAATATTAACTAAAATCATTAATCATTACACAGTCTAAGTAAACTCAATTACAGAAATATTAACTAAAATCATTAATCATTACACAGTCTAAGTAAACTCAATTACAGAAATATTAACTAAAATCATTAATCATTACACAGTCTAAGTAAACTCAATTACAGAAATATTAACTAAAATCATTAATCATTACACAG